TTTCAGTACAAAGAGGACCTGAAGATATTCAAGAAGATGGCTCTAGAAAGCGTTGAACACAAAAATTCGAGCGAATGCAGTGGACCCACCAGCGATTTTGGTGTGCACCCCTCGTGCTCCAGCAGTGATGGTCTAAGGACAACTCAAGAGATGAGCTTCGAGCCCTGATTGTCGACATACTACTCGGAGGTAGGGACTATAAAGTAGGGAAATGAAAGGACTTGGGTGAAAATTTTAGAATTGCCCAAGATTTAGAAGAACTCAGTTAAATTTTATTATGACTTTTGATGTATCCACGGTATATTGTTCTACAGCTTGATGTTTGTGTGTTTTTTAACTTACCGGATTTTCTTTTTTCTTCTCTCTCTCTCTCTCTCTCATTTCTATTTCCCCACCAGTAAGTTACCTCGAAGGATAGCTTCACGGATGTACAGAACTTGTAAAACATGTTGGAGATTTGTTCAAGTGTGGTACTTAATTTTTATCTCATTGTACTCTCTATGAAAGTGTACTGACAATTGGATAGTATAGTGCATCTTAATTCTTATTTGTATTAAATAGGGTTCGTTTGATTGGTAAAGTGGAAAAAAATTCCAATTTCATATTAGTTGAGAAGTACTAACTCATCAAACTCATAGAAATTCATTTTCCATGAAAAACAAAGAAAATCCAATTTAAAATGATTGTAATTTAGAATTCGATTTTCATTTCCATGTTGTAATCAAATGGCTAAATTGAAATTTGTTTTTCTCAGATATGACATTTTTCATGAAAAATGTGGCAATCAAATAGGGCATTAAAGAAAAGATCTCACGTGTTCATAATTTTTGTAAATTGTTGGAAACTGTAGAGGTTCTTTTTGAAAAATAAAAATAAAAATCGACGTTGATAGATGTCTTTTGGATGGAGAATATTCGAAAGGCACAATGTGGGTCCGCATCTACTGGTTATTCTACTATTTATTTAGGGTAAATTACAGTTTTCGTCCCCAATCTTTCAAAAAGGTTGCAGATTCCGTAGCTCTGATTTTTAGGTTTCCAACAATTAGCCGAACTTATACCTATTGACAGAATCTGTTAGAAAATAAAAAAATTTAAGTACTCCAACATGCATTTTATCTTTAACACTTAATTTTACTATTTTCAAAAAGTATTTATTATCTTTCCTTATTTTTTATTTTCACTAATTTCTCTCAAAATTATTATATTATTTTCTTCCATTAAAAATTGAAATATTTTGAATGCATTTAATTATAAAGCTCTATTTTAAAATGTTAATTTTACAAAAAGTATTTATTATCTTTCCAATGTCATCCCATTCCGGTTTATTACAAAAATTGGCACATATCAAAACTCAAAAGGAACGCTAAACTCTAATATAATAAACGCGATTATTCAAGAGTCGTGGTTCATTACATCTCTCATCGAGAAAATTCTCGTCCCTCTTCCCTTCACGAGATGTTCTTTAATCTTCTTAGATGACGAGTTTAATGTTACATGATTATGCTTAATTTATACTTCTCCGTGTTTCCAATGTCGTCATTGAACGGATTTTCCATTTTGAGCCTGAATGCATTATGGGTTGGGTGGTCAACAACAACTAAATTAAATGGAGGGTCATAAGCAATGAGAAATTTCATGTTTGGCTAAGTTGTTAAGAAGCTTTTTCGTCATCTTAGTTCGTTTGTTAGTGCATGGTTGAAAGAAGCCATTTATTGAATTCTTTTTTTTAACTTTTAAGCTAAGCCAAACACGCCGACCAAATGAACACATTATTAACAGTTTGGTAATAATTAACAGTGTCATATGTAGATACAGGCTGTAAAACGATACGGCAAAGACCCAACCCAACGAATAAGTCAAGAAATTATATATTCCAATTTTCAAGGGGATTATATTTTGCCACGTGGCCCAGGCTTGGGTGGAAGTCGTGGGCCCTTCACAATTGGTAAAATGTCTCCTGTTGCGGTGGAGCTAAAGTAAGCAAGGGCTGAGCCACCTCCCAATATCAAGAATTTGAGCAATAGACCTCTCTTTGTGAATGGACCAGCAAATGTCTCAAAGAACTTGCTCTGCAATAGTAAAACAATATCAAGAGTAAAAACTCAACGTGGTAATAAAAGTTGGTTCACTTTTATCGTAGTCCCAAATGACATANTGCAATAGTAAACCAATATCAAGAGACAAAACTCAACGTGGTAATAAAAGTTGGTTCTCTTTTATTTTAGTCGCAAATGACATTTAATAAGTTGAATTGAATTGAGCGACACGGACATGATTAAAGAACTGAAATTTGGTTAGTGCAGAGAAGTATATAACCTGGAGGGGGTTGTATGGTGAAGGTGCATCCGATCCGTACAAGTCCCATTGGCCAGTGGTGTTGCCCAAATCCTCCAAGTCAAAGTACACACTCTTGTCTCCATACTTCGCCACCACTGCTGCAGCCCTACATTGTAATAGAAGTAATCAAGAAATATCCAACTTCACAAGGCACTTCCCACCAACAAGTTTGGCAGCATAGAATGGATTCTTCAAACTCAAATGTTAATCGATAACAAACAAAGTTTTACGGTGACTTGCTCTTAATGTGAGAACTATGTTCACTTGCTGCAGCTACAGTTTCCATGATCATCAAAAGGAGGAGTACAAGATTTTCTTTTTCACGCTTCAAAACAATCCCCTAAAATTCTTTATGGAGCAAAATAAATAATTGTAACCTGTAGTTTGTGGGCTTGAAGCTAAGGCGAGATGGGTTGACATGGAGCTTAGTTCCAGCAAGTGAGCTCCCGGCAAGGCCCTTTACAGTGGTGGGCTGTACTGCTGCAAATGTTGCAAGGGATGCCATAGGAATCGTGTGTATCAAGATTTTTTGATTCTCAGTGGAAATGTTCTGGTTTTTTATCCTTTTGCGGTGGATCTTCGACTGCCACGTGGCATACTGAATTTGTTTGAAGAGATTATGAGTTGGATAAGGCTATCCCTTCGAGATCATTGGTCAATTCTGTGTCACAAGTCCTCAATTTGTATTTTCGCTAAAAAGACCACGTACATAGAGAGTTTGGTTGGAATATTCTCCAGCCCACGTTCTTCAGTCCACCAG